CATCTCCTGAAACTGAATTCTTTGCTTAGCATATTCTAACTTAATTTAATGACTTTATATATTGTTTTCTGCCCTGTTTGTTCTCTTCTGATTCATTGCTAGGCCTACCCCTTAGGAGCTGCACTCTGACTTTTGGTGCCCTGCTCAACCATTTCTATCACCCTGGTGTCATCTTTCCCCTTTCTGTTCTACTGCCCTGGCTAGGTTGAGCCAGGTCCAGCCCTCCCAGGTAAATCCCCTCACTGCTTCCACAGTTACTGAAGAGGTAACTAATCTCTCCTTATACTTTATTTTGAATGGTAAAATGTAGCAGGTGATAATAGTGCATCTTCTTAAAGAGAACAATCTCAGAATGCTAGGTTATTTACCAGATGCAAACATAATGACTGGCAGTGATTTTTGACCTGGTTCTCCACATTACTCTTTCTTATTTTGTGTGCAGTCACTGTGACTGACAGTTCAGGTGCTGCAAATGTCCTGGCACCAATAGGATGGTGGATACCAGGCACTGGGCTATGGGATGGACGAAGGTAAGAGTTACCATCACCACCCAGCTGGATAATTGGCCCCAGTTTATCCTGTGTACCAAGGCTCACTCCAGCTAGTGCTGTCTCTCTAGTACTTCCTGTAGGCTGGGTTTGGATACCAGCTTACTCCAAAAATAGTCCTATACACACTACCTATATGGTACCGTCGAAATAATTAGCTTTACTGAGCTCACAGCTCATATGGGTAATAATCAACACTATGGTCTATAACCATCAGTGATCTTCAGAAAGGAAAAAAATATATAATAAACAGAGGGAACTACCTGCAGCTTCATAAAAGAGAAGGAAGGCAAATGTTAAACTTATGGCAATATTAGAAGACCACAGTATCTTTAACTCACCTTTTCATGGACTTGGGAGAGAGGTCCTTCTCTATATCCTTTGAAGGAGTGTTGTAGGAGTCCACATTGCATTCACTGTCATCATCATACTCATGGTCAAGCAGAGTTCTTGCCCATGTCCCCATGTCGTAGGGGGGCAACATTCCTCCAAACTCTGATGGCAAGATCTCAGGGTGTATTAGCTGATGCAGGCTGTTGAGATTATTACCATGCAGGAATATCTGTATATGCACATGCAGGTAAAAACAAAGCAGTATCACAAAAATCATCAAAGCCCAAATTACATCTTTGTTACAAGAGGATACTGTACTGTTCCAATGTTCTAGTTGCATTGGGCCAATACTGATGGCCACCAACACATACATTGTCTCTGCCTTAAGTGTGGTCCTACTATGTATATAAAGCTACAAAGTGATTAAAGCATAAATGATCTTAAATGTTTATAGGAAAGGGGGTCTAAGGAGGGTAAGAACTGTTGTCAGGTGGGCAGATGGACTGAAGATTAGACAGACAGACTGACTGCCTACCTCTTGTTATTTGCTTTCCTAATTCTGTGATTTAAGCTAAGTGAATATATTAAGAACATACATAATAAATAGAATTAATATTCACCATATACATTAAGGAGTAAGTATTGACTTTCAGTATCCAGCCATGAGTTCTATAAATAAGATCAATAGTGCAGTGTAATGAAAACTCCACTGGAAAGATTTTCTGTCATGATATGGTGGTATTAGTAACTAGGATGCATACTTGACAATATATGAAGTAATGAATAACAGTACAATAATTTCTGTGACAACAATGAGGGAATAGTTGATGAACTACTTGATATTTTCCATCGTTTTTTTGGCAGACATTTATTTTCAGATATGCTTTAACTTTATATAAATGTATGTGAATACTTGCATTTATGTTTATATTTAATCTTATTGCTTCTCCTCAGAGATCTGGAACGTGTGATTGATGAGCACTAGAAACAGAGCACTTCTGGATTTGGACAGCCTTCTCCCATAGATACTAGGGACCTGCAGACCTTCTACTGGAAGGAAATGCCTGTTCTTGGACACGGCTACACAGTCAGCTTACAGCAGCTATTCCTAGACTAGCAAGTAAGATGGGTCAGGATTCACTCTTTGGAACTAGGAGCAAGTGCCATGGCACAGTTCTCATCCATATTAAGACTTTCATTTCCAGAACAAGTTTGCCTCATCCGTACTGCTCACTGGTCCATGCTATCTCCAAACTGGTCCTGGGCAACATCTAAGAAAGCACCACCTGGCACCAACCATGTGCCACAAAGTTCCTGTACAGTTAATTTAAATTTACTTTTTAATTTACTAGCACTGAAGTTGCGAGGAAGGCAAGGTACCTTGCCTCCAAGTAGGCTGCCTCTTGCTCCCCACAGGGCAGGCAGAGGTGTGTGCACAGACAGGCATCAATCGCTACCTATTTCCATCCCACCTCTCCTTGCAGGGGCTTGTCTGGACAGCTATACCCCTAGCATCAAGAGTTAAATTCAAAAGGCAGAAAGACAAAAAGATCAAATTATGTTCTTGTCTTGCTTTTCTTCAGCCCATCTCCCAGTCAGCAGTGGAGACAGGAAGCTTAATACAACCATGTCAACTCAGTAATGTTCTTCAATCTCAGAAAGGAATTTTTCCTTGTGTTAAAGAACAAATATTAATGGCAAAAGTAACTTGTTTTATGGTGCCTTTCCAACTGAATGTTTCACTTTTTAGCAATTGATTTTGTACATGCCTAATACTACACTGATCTGAATATAGGTATCAGTTGCAAATCTACCAGACATATTTTTAAAAAATATAAAATAATTCAGGATAAGCACTGCAGACAAATAACAAACCTGATAAAACCCTGAAGATAACTGTTAGGTTTGGTTTTTTTTTCACATCCATTTGTTCTGCCTCTTGTCCTGATTTTAAATTGTACATGCTGGGCATAACTTTTACATCTTGACACCATGTTCAACTGCCTTGTCACTTACTATTAATGCTGTAAAACCCCCATGAGCTGCACTTTACTTCCTGGTTATGCACACACAGCACTTGATTTAAAAAGGCCTCAAACATATCTGTCTCTATAATGTTCTTTATTGAAGCTGTAGTCAGTGGTGCAACTGAATCCTGCAAAATGGGTTTTCATTTGCATATTTATAACAGATATTACATTAAAAGCTTTGTGATCTATAGTTCAGAATCCGTGAATACCAGAGGCCTCAAAAGCATAATCTGTCAGTTAAAAAGAGCTAAACACCAAGGATTATTGTGGTCTTGTATGCCGTGTTTGAGGACAGAAAACACAAAGTTGCTTAGAGAGCTGATCCCATTAAAATAAATTAAAAAGATCACCATGTTCTTTGTAGTGGCTTTGTACCTGCTGCTGATTGTGTTTTCCTGGATGACAAATTTCCTGTTGCATAAATGGTATCATTCTACATACTGCTACCCAAAAGCTCTAACTTAATTGCACTGATGCTAATGCTGCAAATTCAGCAGCATCTCAGACATTGCTCATGCTTATGCACAGATGCATGCACACAAATTCCCTTTCCTTGGCTTTCATTCAAATCAATATTCACAAATTGCTATATACCAGCTGTGTATTATAGTTCATGCTAATGTCAAGGAAATTACACTAGGAAAGGAATTTGTACTCACTACCTCTGTTCTTAAAATAAAGCCACAAATAACTTTAATAGAAATTAAATAGAATTAAATTGAATAGAATCTTAATAGAAACTGTAATGTTAACAATATTTTAATATAACCCAGAGGAAAGCATATGCTTACATTTTAAAATACACTTAAGTGCACCGCTTGACTGTGTCCTTAAAGGGTAACACTGTATAAATTTTTAAAACAGCTACAGACATTCTTTACAATGCAGATGTATTCAACTACTTTCCACCAATAGCAAGCTGGTATATTCTGTATATCTACTTTATCACAGTATAAACATCTTAGAATCACAGAATCATAGAATCATTAAGATTGGAAGGGGCTTTAAAGATTATCAAGTTCCAACCCCCCTGACAGGGAACCCAACCACTAGACCAGGTTGCACAAAACCTCATTCAACCTGGCTTTAAAAACCTCCAGGGATGGGGCATCAACAACCTCCCTGGGCACCCCATTCAACTACTTTCCACCAATAGCAAGCTGGTATATTCTGTATATCTACTTTATCACAGTATAAACATCTTAGAATCACAGAATCATAGAATCATTAAGATTGGAAGGGGCTTTAAAGATTATCAAGTTCCAACCCCCCTGACAGGGAACCCAACCACTAGACCAGGTTGCACAAAACCTCATTCAACCTGGCTTTAAAAACCTCCAGGGATGGGGCATCAACAACCTCCCTGGGCACCCCATTCCAGTTCTTCATCACCCTTATAGTGAAGAATCTTCTACTACAACTGCCAGATAACGGACAAATAAACAGAAGAATACCCTTTTTCGCGTCTTCTCCTTTAAAAAGGGCCGTATAACTGTGTAGAGGGCATGGATATACCATGGTTGATTGACGAAATGTATTCCTCCAAACCGAGCTGGAAAACTGTCCTGTATGGCACAAAACAAATACATACAATGTGAGTTGACTCCTAACAGAAGTTGCACACACATTAAATATTTATTTATTATGCTAAATGCTTTAATTTTAATAATAAAGGGTAAACAAGAAGAAACATTCTTCAAAACTGTCTCCTCCTCAGTTAGCTGAGTTCCAGCCTTCTGCACCAAGTAGCATCACACCCTGAGAAGAGCAGTGAGGAAGCATGCTGAGACAGCTATGGTATTCAAATAAAGGCATGGCATATTCTAACCTCCAGAAATGTTTTAAACATTTACGATTTGCCCAGAAGCCATCTACCCAATATATTTTTCATTTTTCCACTTCTTCAGACGTTATTCATTTTAATAGTAACTATCTTAATTCTTCCAGTGTCATTGAGGAGCACTAGAAATGTCGCTTTTGTTTCCAACTTAAGAAGAAAGTGTAAATCTAAATTACTATCTAAAATGTCTCCAATATTATCCATATCTTGTAAAACTGAGAATGCATTAAACATTATGCATAACTGTTATGCAACATCCATGACAGTAATTCTGTTGAAGCAATGCCTTCTTTCTTCTTACTGAAAAACGTAAGAGGCAGACAACTCACTAGGAAAGATCCTGACCTGCATTTTCCATTTCTAAATCAAGAGAATATGCCAGAGGGCTTGGCAGTTTGAAGAGGGCAGTCACTCTGGCCTGGAAGACTATTGCCAAATCCATTGCATGTCCTCATTTTGTCTTTGCCTGGTTGTCACATGCTCAAATATTACACTAAGATGCTGCCATGTCCCGTGCTGCCTAGAGTTGCAGCACTAAGCAGGAAAGCAAGAGGTGTCAACTGGCTTGTAAAATGATGCTTGTTACCTTTTGTTTTCACAGGTTATGTCAGAAACTTCTTGGTGTTTAGGTATACAGACTTCACCAATTAATGGCTTTTATCTGAATTCTTCTACATGTGGTCCACTCTAGGCAGCCACAGTAGTCACTTAGATCAAAACCATGTTCCTCACAGCAGCAGCAACTTCCATTTGACAACAGAGGTATAAACAAGGACATGCTTCCCAGCTACAGCTCCTCCTGTATGGATGTAGTAAGGGCAGCTTCAGGTCTGTATTAGTGGGATCAGAAGCTCAAAAGGAGGCAATGGTTAGACAGGGCACTCTGCAAACAGACATGTTTTGCCTCCTCTGGAGACAAAACAGCAGGCCATATAGAAGCACCCAACAGTCTAGCTATAATCCACAAAGCAGCATGTCAAACATACTTATTTAAGGTCATAAAGTACACAGTAAAAATGGTCAAGAAAAAAAATCATAAGCTATAGCAACCAATCAAGAACTGACAGATAAGGAAGGCAGGAACTGTATGAAGGAAACCTTTAATGAAATGTTTCCAGATAGGAATATCCTTTGAAAAAGTACATGTGCCAAGCAACTGCCTTAGTTCTGCGAATGTGTACAGAGCTGTGGGAATAATGAAGCCTGAAGAGGTCACTTGCTCCTCTCAAAAATACCATTAAAATACTGGCAGGCACTGCTAACCCAGAGAATCTTCACATCAGGGTCCCAGTCACCTCCAAACTTGGTGGATTACCAGATTAAATATTTTCCACCAAAGAGGCTGTGCCTTAACAATATTCTACAGGGAGGACAACAGCTCCACTAATATCTGGCTGGACAAAGCACAACAGTCATTGCAATTAAAAGTCTATTTTACAGATTTTCTTCAGAAACATGTTATAAACAACTGCCTTGAAATAAAGCATATTGAAAGACTGCTATAGAAGCCTCATCTTGCTAAATTGCTACCTAGTTCCTGTCAGTGCTGACTAAATGTCAAACAGGACGGTTGATGACTTGACATATAATTCACCCTGTTCAATATCATAAATCCCCAAATACCATTTTGAGAACACAACTGATGTAAAAAAAGGTAGTAAATTATGTCCCTATCACAGCAATCCAACAAATCCATTAAGAAGCATAAATCATTGGATGACACCTTAACCTTTAGTTGCAGGAGATAGCCATTCATCTAGAGAAGGCTGAGTTTATTTGGTTTGCCATGGCTGCTGCTCCAACAAAGAAGTCCGGCGCAGCATGCCATGTACCATGCACAAAAAGCATACACTAGGGCTGCAGAAAACATCTTTTGCTAGTTACATCTAGGTATCTTTGAAGATATCTTCAGGGTTTACACTGGAATGGTAACTATGATAAACCTTGTGGGGATCAAACACTTTTTTTATAATACAGGCACTATGGAAGACAGTAAAGCAAACCACCTGTTCTTGGCTGCATGACTTCTTGCATGATTTCATAAACTTTTAAATTAATAAAAGTGCCTCAAAACTTACACAGGCCAAGACATGAAACGTTTGTTCTTTGTTGCTCAAAAGATGTCTCACACAGAAACTGAGGACAATTTGTGAATGAGAAGATCTCAACAGGCAAACAGATATTTACATTCTACTGTGGGTTCAAAATGGATGGCTTGTCAGTACTCATTTATGAAAATATGAAATTTCTAGCAAGTAAAAGGAGTACAAAGTACCACTTTTGACACTTGCACTAACTTCTTCTGCATCTTGAAATCAATTTACATGGAGAAGCATGAATATATGTGGAATGATTCTCAAACAGAAGATGCTATTTAATATTAAAAGTAAATTTGCCTCAGTTTTTCAGCAATTCTAAAGGCATTTTCCACAAATGACTAAAGAAGTTGGGTATTTATCAATTTCTGTGACTGAATGGAGGTGCTCAAATTCAGGAGCACTTCCTAAGGAGTAATTAGGAACCTCCAAAATTTGGGCCCAGAAAGAGAGAAAGGGCGATACGGTCAGAATTGTACACAGTGCTGAGACTAGAATTCAAAAGCTGCTGAATGCAGACCCAAAACCCAATCTCAACAGCCCCTGGTGATAAAATACAGAAGCAGAATAAGCAACGACAGCTGCTGGAGAAACAGGTGTCAGAAACTTGTCTGACTCTTCTCAGATATACCTGATTTCTGCATGGGGACTTGCCAGACAGATGGCGATCCTACATCAACAGCAGGTAGGAGTTTCTTCCAAATCACTGATTCTTAAGGGTTTTTATATAGATTAAGTCACAAGCATGGTGCCAGATGCAACTGCCTCTGTAGACATAATGCCCTTCAACAGAAAAGCCTGTAGCCCATGCATCATATGAATTCTAAGTAAAAGAGATCCCATGCCAGAAAACAGTAAGAAATGGAGATCAGCCACAAAGCAAGCTGTGCAAAAGCAATACATCTGATGGGGTATTACCAGATCAATAAAAATAACTCATTATATATACACAGCATGTGGGGTTTTTTAGCATTCACAATAACCTCAGCTTATGCAGCAGAACGCAACTTAAGCCATGTCTCTGATGAACACTGTTTGGGAAATTGCCACTCTACAGACACAGGCAAGCAACTACTATTAGGGACCACAGCCCTTGGAATACAAGGTTTACAAGTGACAACTAATAGTGGGCTGCCAAGGAAAACATACTACTACACCACTGTTTGCAGGATGGGGAGACTACCAGGGCAGGGCAGTAACTGACCTCTCCTCTAACAATTGTAAAATGGCACTGGAGAGTGACCCCAAGCCAACCAGGTTTCCATCTCCAATGAGACAATTTCACTCACTCACAGCACAGCAGTTTTACCTCTCTACTTTGCATAATTTATATGACCTATCTCCACAAGCTTCCTTGCCAAGAATACAGCTGCTATTGCCTGCTACTGCCCTCAGCACATGCTAGGAAGCAAGGTTTCTATTTGCTCTCCACTGTGGCCAGCAGAAACCCTTACAGCACATGTAATAACAGCAAGATTAATATATGACATTTTCAACAGTACCTAAGAGAGCTAAGTGCCAAATTCCAGTGTGGGTCTTCTTAGTGGTGTCAGAACTGTTATAATAGAGATAATAAAAATGACCCACCCACATTTTCCATCTTTACCAAATGCAAAAAATTAAAGAACTTCTTAAAGCCCACAATATTTTGCACTCCTTGGGTATTACGTCTACATTTAAACTTCTGAAGTCTACTTTTAAAGAGTTAGCTCCCCTAGCTGAAAACAGTACTGGTCAGCTGTGTTTGCACAGCTCTTAAAAGTGGGCTCTTAGAAACTGCTGGGGACCACTGTTTGCCCACAGATGCACTGGCAGCCCAGCCACATCAGGACCTCACAAACGTGCTGTACATCACCTGCAAACAGCCCATCTGAACATAAATTGCTACACATTAACAGTGAGAGTGCTTGGGCACATACCCTCTGGGGTCATGTTTGCAGGCAAGCTGTCTTTATGGGCAGGGAAACTGTTTTTGCAGACAGTCAAGAGGCATCCTTCAAAGGACTGTCTAGACAAATATCATGAACACACTCACACACTTACTTCAGGCTGTTCTTGAGGGCTGTGATGAACTCAGACCATAGCATCTGCAGGCAGGAAGAGGCTACAGAGTCAAAACTGTGAAAATTGTATCTTAATGATAAAAATTATGCTTTCAAAAATAGCATACCAAATTATTAGTATCTTAAATGCAACTTAAGAGTTATTCCTGAAGGTAATAAACTGAAGTCTTTGTGGGAAACTGTTTTTTTTTCTTCACATAAGTCTAAAACAAAATGCCTTTTAAGTACTTCAGGGAGAAAACAAAAATCACTATGATTAACCTAAATGGTATCTTCATAATGGAAAGGTCCATTAGAAAGACATTGAAATGTTCTGTCTGATGCAAGATGCAGCACAACTACACTTATTTTTTAGGATTTTAAAGAGGAAACTTGGGAAAATCAGAGAAATAAAAGCTCTGGTTAGAATACTTCATTTCCTTAGTATCACAAGAGTTGAATTACCAGAGAAACCAAGAACTGTCCACATCAGGAAAAGAAACCCAAGTCTTGCTCCCAAACTGTAACTTTACTGAAGGTTTGAAAGAACGAGGCACTCCTAATACCAGACTTCCCACAGGCATCCA